ATGTCTGCAGCGGGAGGCCTCGTCAAAATGCAGGCTCGGCCTCGTCATTTTTTGACGACCTCGTCGGGGATTTCCGAGACCCCCGTACCCGGGTCTTACGTCTCCCCGATCCATCTCACCAGCTGGCCTCCTGCGGCGCCGGCATGGCCAATGCAGGGCCGGGGGCCCCTTTGACAATGATGACTCAGTGGCCTCTCCCGTCGTGCGACTGCGGCGCCGACCAGAGCCCCACCTCCCGCGCCGGCCTCTCTGCGAGGAGGAGGGCCCGGCGGCGCGCCGGCGGGGAAAAAGCGAGCGGGGGCGGGCCCTCTCAGAGGGCGCCGTGGCTTCTCAGAAGCCCCGTCCCCCTCGGGAGCCTCGGGGTGGCGGGCCTTTCTCTCCCCTCCCTCCCCCCGCTCTCGCGCGCTGTGCCTCGCCATCTCGCTCCCCTCCTCCCCTCCTCTCCCCCCTCCTCCTCTCCTCCCCTCTCGCTCTCCCCTCCTCTCCTCCCCTCCTCTCTCCGCCCCTGCTCTCTCTCCCCCTCCTCGCTCTCACCCCAGTCCGACAAGTCAAAACGTTTCCAGAAGCCCCATGGCCTTGCGAGGAGCCCTCCGATGTGGCCCCGTGGAGGGCTGATGTGGGCCGCCGCTCCGAGGGCCGGAGGCCTTTTTCCGAGCCTCTCTGATGAGCGGCCCGCCCCGTCCGGCTTGGCCCCCGAGGGTGCGCCGCCGAGGAGGAAAGGATTGAGCCGAACGAAAGGGGGGGTGGGGGAACAAAAAGTGACACAAAGGTAAAACTCGGAGGTCCGCGCGGATTTCTCGGATCGGCGCTGGAGCCCCCTCCCTGGCGCGCGCTCCGCGCGCCAGGGGCGGCGCCGGAGGCGCCGCTGGGGGGCCTCCAGCGCCGATCCGAGAAATCCGCGCGGACCTCCGAGTTTTATGTTTATGCCACTTTTTGTTTCCCTAGATAGGGAAATGGGGGGGTAAGGGCATCTGCTGCGTGCAGCTGGTTTCGGCCCCACCGAGGTGCCCATTCCATTCTTCGATACGTAGCCGCTTCCGGCGCCGGGAGGCGCCGGGAAAATCAGCTACGTGAGCTGATTCTCAAACCCCCCTTTTGCCATCCCCCCCTTTCGCCCGGCCCGAAAGGATGATCGGGACGGGGCGGGCAGGCGTTGGACTGAGCAGGGGTGGGATAGTAGCCGGGTATAGCCTAAGCCAGGACCCCAGGTACGGGAGCCCTGTTAGTAGTAGGGCCCCGGAGCCCCTGGATGGGCCAGAATCACTAACCTAGGCCTGCCGTATAGCTGGTGCTTTTTCGGGTGACGGCCGTTCCGGTCAGTGGAACGGGGCGGGGGGGGCGTCCCGTACACATCACCACACCAGGTCCCACTAAACCCAGTTCTGCCAACGCCCGAGAAGAAGGATCAGGACGGGGCGGGCAGGTTGGACAGAGCAGGAGTGGGATAATAGGGGTCGGAGGGGCTAGATGCAAGTCGGGCATGTCCCTCTACAGGAGGAGTATTCAAAAATAGTCCCAAAAAATAGCCCGGGAATGATGTTTCGATCATTTTGATAAATTTTGTAAATTTTATGGCTAATTCTTCATTTTCGTCCAAGATCCGCCTGTAGGAGGACACGCCCGACCTAAGGATAGTAGGGGTCGGAGGGGCTCGATGTATACACCACGTCGTTTGGTCGGCCAGGGAGGCATGGGTCTCGGCGAGGGAAATCAGTGCACAGACGCTCCAGCCACCAACCAGCTCCTCCAGTAGAGGCGAGGGCTCACGATGCACCCGAAGAAGTCGCAACTCTGGCCAGGGTGCAGATCAACTCTCCAAACTGCCCTACAGGCCATCTCCCGCAGCACTCGTCACCACCACCACCAGCGCTCAGAATACTTGTAGCCTGCCCATCGCCTGGTATATCGATGACCAAGCACGGCTGGCTTGCCCCCGTACCACCAACGAAGTGCACGCCACAGACAGGCACCCATAGCAATTTTCGATCGTCAAAGCACCACCACTCATTGAAGATGGCCACATGGAATTTGCACCTGCCCCCACAGACGGCACTACACCATACAACATCACCAACCATGACGAAGCATCTGTCGACGTAGCACTGGGTAACCAGTGCATGCACGGCAAGCCACGAGGGCACGATGCAGTTCTTAGCATTACATGCATTGTGGCATGTGCACAGGTATTCCAGTGGCTGCATGCTGTCTGTCCTAAAGGGAGATTGGGCATCGCACCGTTCAATGACAGCCTTGCCAAGTTCCTGCGTGAGTGAAGGTATGAAAGCCGCAAGCGGGTTCAGGGCGAGCGCGCGCAGTGGCTGCATATTTGGAAGTGCCGCTGGCGATGTCTGCCACGGGCGGTTACCAGTCGAGTGTAAAAGGGGGCGTGTGGCTCTGCCCCGTCATGCAGCGCGCGGCGCTGCCGCATCACACAGCGCAGGGCGCCTGACCGCTCACGTAGCGCATTGCCCCCCCCCCCCCCCCCTCCCCAGGCGCGGGTCGCCCGCTCAGGCTGCACGGGCGAGACAAGCAGATGCAGCGCATGGCGGTGTTACGGTCACCAGTATGTACGTCCCCTCGTTTTCCGCCTTCCCCCGTTTTGTGTTGCGCTGGTCTGCGACGCGCGTGGCCCGACACCGTTTCGAGTCGCTTTCCCGGGTGTTGCATATCTTCGTTAGTAGTAGTAGTAGTAGTAGTAGTAGTAGTAGACTGTAGTAGTAGTAGTAGTAGTAGTAGTAGTAGTAGTAGTAGTAGTAGTAGTAGTAACAGTAACAGTAAAAGTAAAAGTAAAAGTAAAAGTAAAAGTAAAAGTAAAAGTAAAAATCAAAGTAGTAGTAGTAGTAGTAGTAGTAGTAGTAGTAGTAGTGGTAGTCGTAGTAGGAGTAGTAGTAGTCGTAGTAGTAGTAGTAGTAGTAGTAGTAGTAGTAGTAGTAGACTGTAGTAGACTGTAGTAGTAGTAGTAGTAGTAGTAGTAGTAGTAGTAGTAGTAGTAGTAGTAGTAGTAGTAGTAGACTGTAGTAGTAGACTGTAGTAGTAGTAGTAGTAGTAGTAACAGTAAAAGTAAAAGTAAAAGTAAAAGTAAAAATAAAAGTAGTAGTAGTAGTAGTAGTAGTAGTAGTAGTAGTAGTGGTAGTCGTACTAGTAGTAGTAGTCTAGTAGTAGTAGTAGTAGTGTAGTAGTAGTAGTAGTAGTAGTAGTAGTAGTAGTAGTAGTAGTAGTAGTAGTAGTAACAGTAAAAGTAAAAGTAAAAGTACAAGTAAAAAAAATAAAAGTAAAGTAAAGTAGTAGTAGTAGTAGTAGTAGTAGTAGTAGTAGTAGTAGTAGTAGTAGTAGTAGTAGTAGTAGTAGTGGTAGTAGTAGTAGTAGTAGTAGTAGTAGTAGTAGTAGTAGTAGTAGTAGTAAAAGTAGTAGTAAAAGTAGAAGTAGAAGAGGAGATTGTTCTTGTCAGTTCAACGGTCACATGAACCGTCGCCTCACGCGCAGCAGGGGTTCGCCACGCGGTGGGTCAGGGGGTATTCAAGGGCATTCGTGCACGCCTGTCGAGGCTATCGTGGGGACGGTTGGGAATTTTGGGGCCGCGTTGTTTTTCTCCTGGACTTGCGGCGTCTCCACGCCTGTCGAGGCTATCGTGGGGACGTTTGGGAGTTGTTGGGGCCGCGTTGGTTTTCTCCTGGACTTCGGTGGCTCTTCGAGGCCTTGCTGTGCCTCGTTTCGGTCGACGAAGTGCGTCTCTGAAGCTTGTCAGGTGGAGGAAGGGGCAAGAACGCCGAGTCCCCGAACAACTATGTGCTGGTAGGCTCTTCAACTGTTTTGACCTGTCTGATGTTCGTTTTTGGGGTGCCGTGGTTCCCCCAATGAGCTGTTTCGGCGCCGGGTTGGGCCATAGTGGGAGTTGTTTGGAGGCAGTTTGGGGAGCCACCTTTGAGGATCTCGGGCCATATTCGAGCTTCGGTCGGCCACTGTGCGTTCGGGGGGCTGTCCGCCCCCACTCCCTTTCAATTGGGACTCTGGAGCTCCGGAGGGGGAATGGGGAAGCCAAAGGTCTCACGCGCTTTGTCGCCCAGTCGCCGCAGTGTCTGTGAGCCAGTGCGTCCCGAGTGCCAGCGGAAGTGTGATGATGCTCGGATGAGTTGTCGACGAGCTTTCTTATTCCACCGCTGGATGGTGCCCCCTTCTGCGAGGGCTCGGCTGGCACCACTGCCCGTCGTCCCTACTGTGATCCTTCTGGGCGCCAGTGAATGGCGAAACCATGCGATACCTAGATGTTTGCGTGTTTGCAGTTGAGATGTTTGCGAGCGTGCATCAGAGATTCGGTTTGGTATTCGTGATGGTTGCCATTGTGGTCTAGGTTGGCGGGAGTTGGCCTGCACGGGCAAGCGAAGGCAGCGCATCATTATCACCGACAGCAGGTACACCGCTGCGGCTGGTGGATGACCATTGTGGCGTTGCCACTGCGAGACATCCCGGCAGTGCTTGTCAGGGGAGTGTTGGCACGGCCTGGCGTTGACAGATGACGCGCAGTCTTGCCCAACATAGGTATGAGTTGTCAATTTATTTGCCGATGTTTTCTTCAATGGCCGAAGTGGGTAAACACAAAAACGAGCGCAGGTCATGATGTTCGTTGATGTGTGCTCGTTGCACCCATTACCTTTACAGCGTGGTACGACTGTGATGCTGAACAGCTGGAGCCGCGCTGATTGGCTTGTTTTTGCGTTCCAGTCCAATTCGATCGGAACTCTGCGCAGATGCATTTGTTTCGATCCGCAATGAGCGACGATGCTTTGTACATCGAGCAATGCCCAACTCGCCCACTGGATTCACGTTACATGTTTCTTTAGGCGAGCACTGACAAGTTGCTGGCACCGCCGCTGCAGCATGTTTCAAGGCATTTTGGATCAAGCTGAGTTGGGCCGAAGCAGCTCTGTGGGTCAAATCTCGCTGCATTTCGCGACAAGTCTGATGTTGCCGAGTGTAAATGGCGCGGCGCACTGGCATTCTCGATGATACGACGGTCTCTCCACTGCCAGGTTGGAGGAGGCTGGTAAACGGATGATCAGGAGAGATGTGAGCGATGGTGAGCAGCAGGCAGCCGCAATATGCAACCAGTTGAGAGAAGGCGGCATGTTCTCTTCGACGAAGTGGAGTTGAAGGGTTAGCACTTAGTTGTCGAAAGTACAGTCAGGTAAGTGTACGTAAGATGCACAGAACGTGCTGGTGGGCGAAAGCAGAAGATGGCGAATGCGGTTGCCCGTCCTCAGTTTCTTCAGATTTCTACTCTACTCTCTTTTGGGTACCCTCCTGCACCTAATCTGATCTCTACCCTCTGCACTCTATTGTCTCTGCTGTTTTCCTCCGTTCACGTGTTGCATCTGTTTTGTATCGTCTGCTTTCTGCACTCTCCGCTCTGCTCATGCTCTCGATCTACTCTACACAAATATCTCATGACCGTTGGCTTATCCTGCAACCGTGTCTGAGTTGTGGGTCAGATTCCTCAGGGATCCATCTTGGGGTCTCTTTGGAGCGCTCTCGGGGGCCTCTCGGGGGCAGTTTTGGGGCCTCGTGGCAGCTTCTTGGGGGCTCTTGGCAGCCTCCTGGGGGCCTCTTGAAGCCCCCTGGGGGCCTCCCTGGGTCAACAACTTGAAATGTCCATTCAGGTCCCCCGTCGGGGCCCCTTTTGGAGCCGTCTTGGGGCCAATGTCGAAACGCCAAATAAGAAAACGCTCACGTGTTTATGCAGTTGTCTCTGCCTCTAGATCCGTGGCCCTATGAGCGACCCCATGCGCAACCACCGGACAATGCAAACCAGAGTGTTATGATTATGGGCAGGACCTCTTGGGCGAGATGTTTTGTGCAAGCGCCCAGCAACTCGCAGGTAGGGATGGGACCTCGTGCGCGGGGACCTACAGTCGGGGCCCTGAAGAAGGAACCCTTTTCGTTGGGGAGGGGCTCCGCGTTCCTTCAGTGTGTCGCAGCTTGCCTCGGGTGTTCCCCATGTTTTCGAGGGGACATCGGAGTTTCACTTATGGAAGAAAAGGGGCCTCGTTCCTTCTTTAGGGTTCCTTAGGTCAACGCCCCGACTGGATGTGATGAGTGGAGTGCTGGAAAAGCCTCCTCCTCCTCCTCCTCCTCCTCCTCCTCCTCCTCCTCTCCTCCTCCTCCTCCTCCTCCTCCTCCTCCTCCTCCTCCTCCTCCTCCTCCTCCTCCTCCTCCTCCTCCTCCCCCCCCTGGGCAGCGTGATCCCTCCGTGGCGGAGGCGGGGGAGCTTGGGGCCCCCGGCCTCCGCGCAGGCCCGCGAGCCCGCGGCAGGCGGGCGGGCCGGCGCACCTCCTCCCCCCCCCGCGGGGCGGGGCCCTATCGTGGTGCCCTCGGCGGGGCGGCCGCCCTCCGGCGAGGCCGGGGAGGGCGCCCTCCTCCTCCTCCTCCTCCTCCTCCTCCTCCTCCTCCTCCTCCTCCTCCTCCTCCTCCTCCTCCTCCTCTCCCCCGGGCCTCGCCGGGCTCGGCGGCCCCGGACGCCGGGCTCGGCGGAGGTGGGATGCTGGCGGGCGTGTCCCCCTACAGGGGCGGGGCTGGACAGAGACCCCCAACAGTTACACGTCGATTAGTGAATTGTCCGTTTTCGGTTCGTCGAGAGGGCGCCGTGGCCGTTATATTTCCAGGCTTGCGCCCGCCAGGTTTGGGCCTCAGGTCGTTTTCACGAAACCACGTTTTGCTAAAGGGGGGTCTGTCCATCCCCGATACAGGGGTGGGGAGGGGCGGAGTGTTCCCGGTGCACTGGCAGGGGTGGGCTGTTCACACCGTTTGCTCCTCCCGCGGCCCGACGGACCACGCGTGCCACCCGCGCGAGCCCACGCAGCCGCTCGCTCTCGCCCTTCGGCCTGGATCCGGCCTTCGCCCCCCTCGATCCTCCCGCGGCCCGACCTCACTTCCTCCTCGATCCTCTTCCTTCTCCTCCTCCTCTTCAATCCTCCTCCTCCTCCTCCTCCTCCTCCTCCTCCTCCTCCTCCTCTTCAATCCTCCTCCTCCTCCTCCTCCTCCTCCTCCTCCTCCTCCTCCCCCTCCTCCTCCTCCTCCTCCTCCTCCTCCTCCTCCTGCACTGAAGCCTCGAAGCTGCAGGCACGTGTCTGTGCCAGGCGCTGCTGTCCCCTCCCCTGCGGGCAACGCCGCCAGGGAGGAGGGAGGTCAAATCGATCCACCGTTCGCACCCGAGGGATCAAAGGACACACGATGGGTCAGCATTGCCTGGGCCTGCACAGGGCGACTGCGACGTCATCGTTCGAGATGGAGCTGTTGGCAGCAGGGGCCACGTGGAGCGTGGCACACGCGGCAGCCTGATCCAGGGCGCCGAGCACGGACCGAAGCGATCAGAGGCAGCGGGGATGGGAGGGAGGAGGGCGGAGGAGGGGCCGCCTGTCCTCCTCCCCGCCTTTCCTCCCTCCTGCTGCCCCTTCCCCCCGGCACCCTCCCCCCCTCCCCCCCCTGGCGAAGAGGCCCCGGATGAGCGCGGCGGCCCTGGGCCGCAGCAGCCCCGCGGCGGCGGCGCGCGGCATGCGCGGCGGCCCTCGCCCGCTCGCCGCTCGCCGCTCGCTGCCGCCGCCGCCCCTGGAGGGGGGGCTGCCTCCCTGCGCCATGGGGGGAGCAAGAACGGGCCCCCGAGGGGAGTCCAGGCCTCCTGTCGGGCCGGGCGAAAGGGGGGGATTGGGAAAGGGGGGGTTACGAAATTTGCTGCATGCAGCTGGTTTCGGCCTCACCGAGGGGCCCATTCCTCGATACGTATGGGCGCCTCCGGCGCCGGGAGGCGCCGGGGAAATCAGCTACGTGAGCTGAGTCTCAAACCCCCTCTTTGCTATCCCCCCCTTTCGCCCGACCCGATCCTGGATGGGGTCGGAGCAGGTGGGGTCGGAGGATCGCGCCACATCGCCGATGCATCGCCGACGCACGCGGCTCGATGCGGAGCCCGATTTGCTTCACGTCGATGTCGCCGATGCATCGCCGATGTCGACGATGCGTCGCCGATGCATGGGCGATGCGGCACGATCCTCCGACCCCATCAACTCCGACCCCACCTAGGAGGCCTCTGTATTATGGAGGTTCTTCACTGTTTTCGGGCTCCCGGGGCCCTCACGGGCCCCAGGGCTGTCAGACATCGATTCGGGATAAAGATTGTGATGTTTCAACCTACTTTAGCCTTGATCACCAGAAAGAATTTCGAGCACCAGAAAAAAAACACCGAAACTCCAGCGTGTCGGGCCTGGGAGACCCTCGTCCGACACTGTTTCGGCACTTCTCCAAGTGCTCGAAATTACTTCTGGGATGTGGTCCTTAAGTACGACGGGAGCAACATAAGACGAAGAACGCATCCTGGGCGAAGGTCCTGGGGTCCAGGACTCCCCTCGGGACCCGTTTCCTTGCCTTTAAGTCGGGCACGTCCCTCTACAGGAGCAGTCTGCGAAAATGGTCACGAGAATCAGTCTGGGGAAGATGATCCGACTAGTTTGCGAGTACTGCTGCATATGTGTGGATCAGTTGTTGTGTGGCATTCTTCCTCCAGGGTCCGCCTGTAGGGGGACATGCCACACCTACGTAACCCTAGTTTCCTCCTGGCGGCTGCCCGTCCAGGTCCGTTTGCTTGCCGCGCCCCTCGACCTCCAGCAGCAGAGGGGGACGGCCAAGCCCGAGCACGCAGGCAGCCACCGTCGCGTTGCACGCATCGGTCGGCAGGCCGCCGACCACAGGTCACCCCTGCCCAGGGCCGCTCCTGCGCGTCGGCTACACGCAGGAGCGGCCCCAGATGTCATCAGGAGGGGAAGAAACACACAGACACAATGAATCGTCGATTCCCAGGAAAATATGCGAAAATATGGGAAGTGGTGGGGAGGACAAAAACCCAGAAAATATGGGAAAATATGGGGAATAATTTTATTTGTGTGTATTTATTTGTGTGTCCCAGGGCCCCTTTATATCAGGCTGCCACGCGCCTTTTCGCGTGTAGGCGTCACGCGAATAAGCCTGCAGCCTGACTTCCCGGGGGCGCAGGAGGTCGGCTACACCGTGTAGCCGACTTCCTGCGCCCCGAGAGATCACGCTGCACGCTTTCTCGCGACATGGACCCTCGAACCTCTGAACCCCTCTCCCGGATCCAGTGCCTCACCACGATTCGGACGGGGCTAGGACGAGGATAACTCCGTTTTAGACCCTTTTTCATCCTCGTCCTGCCTTCGTCTTACTCCGCGGGCCGCGTTTCCCGATTTGCGCACGGGGAGGGCGACCTTAAGCACAGGCACGCGGAAGCGCCCATTTCAGTTGAGGTCTGGGGAGATTTGGGAAGTGCGGGGCGGGGGGGGAGAATAAAGCCCGGGGAGGTGGAGGAAGAAGCTGGAGGATCTTGGAACTTGTGTCCATTGAAAAATTCAAGCCCAGGGAAGTTGAAGGGAACGCTGGGATAATTAACTTGGAGCGTGTGTCCATTGATTGGTGGTGTCTCCCTGGCCCCCTCGATCCTCATCCTCCCCAAGGGGGGGAGGGCGGCGCGAGCGCGCGAAGCCATCCGCGCGGCGCCCCCTGTGGACCCCGGCAGGAAGTCGGGCACGCCCGCCTGCAGGAGGAGGACTCGAAGATCACAGAACACTGGTATCGGGGCGATGCTTCAACTGCTCTTCCTGCTTGTGATCACTCCAGATTTCGTAATAGAAGGGAGGGGGTCTGGACCCTCCAAGACAAGCCATGTCAGACCCCCCCTCGTGGGAGAACCCTCCAAAACATCGTCCCCAGACCCCCCCAGGCCCTCGAAGACAGCCTGGAAGAGCCCCCCCCCGAAATGAGACCCCCTCCCTTTTATTACGAAAGCTGGAGGACGTTTTGACTCCGTTTGACCTTTCTTCCGAACTCCGCTTGCAGGAGGACGTGCCCGACCCCACCCCCGGCAGGCGGCGCCGCCGCCGCGCCGGCCGAGGCCGGCGCCAGCCCCGCGGCGGCCTCCGCCAGCAGCGGCGGCGGCGGCGCGGTGGCCGCCGCGTGGGCCCTGCCGCGTCTTACGCAGCGCCGCGCGCCGCGTGCGCCGCTGCGCGCCCGCCGCGCCGCGGGGGCGGGCCTCCTCCCCTCCTCCTCCTCCTCCTCCTCCTCCTCCACCTCCTCCTCCTCCTCCTCCTCCTCCCCTCCTCCTCCTCCTCCTCCTCCTCCCTCTCCTCCTCCTTCTCCTCCTCTTACTCCTACTCCTCCTCCTCCTCCTCCTCCTCCTCCTCCTCCTCCTCCTTCTCCTCTTACTCCTACTACTCCTCCTCCTCCTCTTCGAAGCGTCCTGGCTCGCTTGCGGGCCCACCAAAGAGTGGTCCAAGAGCCTTGCATTGGTGGTCTGCACGAGATGCTCTCAGAACATGTATGGCCAAGACTGTCTTGCTTTACCACATCGGGAACATTGTGTTCGTCCTCAGCACATGTTGGTGTTCTAAGAGCTTGTTGTCGGTAGGCCCATAGGAATGCTGGGACTGTCGGTCCCTGCTCAAGTTAGTCCAGGCCTCCCAGACCGTTGAAGGGAAAACTACGCAACAAACGCTTCTAGGCTCTAGGAAACTATTCGCGCGACCCCCCTCCTTCTCCCGGCCCCCGTCCTTGGTATTGAACTAGCGCAGCGTTCCCGGAGAGGCAGGGGAGACAAATCTCAAGAGCCATTTCAAACGCGAACACTGCCAATGCTAAGGCCAGGGGGGAAGGGGGTAGGTTTTTTTCTAGTTCGGGCGTTGTTGTTGACAGTTGTTTCGCTTCAACAGGATGGGGTCAGAGTAGTTGTGGTCGGAGGATCGTGCACCATCGCCGATGCATCGGTGATGCGACTCGATGGAGACCGATCTGCTCCACGCCGACGTCGCCGATGGATCGGCGATGCGGTGCGATCCCCCGACCCGATCTGCTCCGGCCCCATCTGGGAGGCCTCTTGATCGAGCCTCGGGTCGGGCGGACGGGGGGGGATTGTACGGGGCGCTGGCAGGGTCGTTTCTCGTTGTTTTTGTCGCGCTCGCCGAATCTTCTGGAACAGCCGCCGGAGAGAGCAGAGCCATGGCCCGAGCGTTGGGGGGCACTTGCCCATGGGGGCGAGACATCGACCCCCAATCGCTCACGCGTCACCGATCGGGGCCCAGGTGCCCCAACCCGCCCAGGAGCGCGTGCTCTACGGCCCCTCTCGGGGGAGTGTCGATACCCTGGGTGCCAGTAGTGGCTGGTTGGCGAGATGCTGAGGGGAGGGGGATAGGGGAGGAGGACGGTATTGGCTCGGAGAGGAGGAGGAGGAGGAGGAGGAGGAGGAGGAGGAGGAGGAGGAATAAGTGCGAGATGTGAGGAGGAGGAGGAGGAGGAGGAGGAGGAGGAGGAGGAGGAGGGGGTGAAGGACTATGACTGCGAGATTTTGGGGAGGAAGGTCAAAGGACGAGGAGGAGTAGCTCGATGGGAAAGAGGTCTTGTCTGGGCAGGTTCTTGGATGTATGTCTCTGCGATGCTCATAGGCTCTCGGAGGGTTCCGCAACGCTTACTGTGGATTATTATATTGAGGAGCAACATTTGATTGTCTGGGGTACGGTTGTCAGGGGGTTCGGAGGTTTCCAGAGAGGGATGGGCAGGTTGAGCTGCACGTGTCGCTTCCACCCGCTCCTCCCTCTCTTCGAAGCTGGAGGCTTCTCGATCTGACAGTCTGCTAATCGTAATCGCATTGTTTGTATTTCCGTGACTATGTTATGCTGTCTATCATTTGTCTTCTTGTGGTCCTCCTCCCTGTCCTTGTCCTTGTGCTCTATCTGTCTAGGTCCTCAAACCCCCTTGGTCCTCCATGTGTCGCCCTTTCGCCGTTCACTGTGTGACGAGCAGACAAGGCAGTACTGTGCCCCCCCGCTGCTGCCATGTTACGAGTAAAGCAGGCGGTTCATATGTTCCGCGCTCCCCAACGCTGCCGTGTGAAGGGTGCCGCAGAAGAGTGGTATTTCACCCCTGCGTCGTCGCCATGTGACGACAAGAGCACCACGATGTTGTACCCCGAGCCACTGGGTGGCTGCGTGGCAGACCGAGCAACGCATGCTTTTGTCGCCACCGCTACTGCCACTGCTGCTGCGCCCTTGCAGCGCCCCCGGGTGCCCCCTGGCCCAAGCCCCGGCTGCTGCCGCGGCCCCGCGGCCCTGGATGGCCGCTCCAGCCCGCTCACCGCGGCATTATTCTGCGTCTGAGCGCCTGCGTCTTTCTCCCCCAGCGCGGCTGGTCTCCTCTCCTCCTCGTTCGCTTGCACGCCGCACAATCTGCTTGTCGGTGCCCCCGATGAGCCCGACGCTGGCGGGGATCGCATCCGCCTCGCCGCCGACGAGCAAGTTCTGGTCGCACACCGCACCCTCGGCGCGACGATGCGACCTCTCCATGCTGGTGCTTCCTCCGTTTCCTCCTTCCTCAGCCTCTCTTCTCCCTTCCTCCCTCGTCGTCCTGCTCCCCCTCCTCGCCCTCCATCCTCCTCACCCCCGCCCCCTCTCGCTGCGCCGTGGCCCGTTGAGGCTGAGGGTGCGCTCTGCCGTGGTTTCGACCTCGCGGCAGCCGTCCTCGTCGTGTGGATCGAGGCTACCGCTCCTCGCACGCGTGAGCCGCTAGAGGAGAAAGGCCAGCGGGCATGCAGGCCCTCCCTGTGCTTCGCCCCCGGTCCAGGCTGCACTGCGCCCTGGCCCGTGCTTCGCCCCATCCGGTCGGCCCGAGGCATCGGATCGGTGCCGCATCGGGAAGTGCACCCTGGTGCTCTTCGTGCCCGGTGGATGCTCCTGCGCCTCACCTCGAGTGTTCTGCGGCCTGGCCAGCGGAGGGTCTCGTGCTCTTTTGAGGGACGCTCTTCCCCGGAGGGTTTCTGGGGAGGGGGTCTTCCAGAGAGCCCCCCAGGGGCCTCGGGACCTCGTTGAAGCAGGGGGCGCGAAGCCCCCGGGGGGACCCCTCCTGGAAAACCCCTTCCACCAAAACTTGGGCGTTGCGCAATGGAGGGGTCATAAATGGGGGGGTGGCGAGGGTGGTCCGAAAAGGTACCCAAACGGTACCTGAACGAGCCCCCTGGGGCTCCGGAGGGGCCCGCAAGGGGCACGAAAGGGGACCTTTTCTGACCCCCCCATCTGTGACCCCCCCCATTAAGCCACGCCCCAACAAACACCCTTTTGGAACCCTCCGGCTTCCCGCCCCGCCCCGCCTCTCAACAGCACCGTAACGGGAGTTACTAACGGGTACTTTGATTTTCTGCCGAAAGTTGCCACTCTAGGGCATTTTTCTTGCATTGCAGTTTTGCCCATATCGGGAGGGGTTGGGTTCGCAGGGTCACTGGCCAAAGTACCCGTTAGTGGAGTCCCCGTTTGAGGGGCGCTGAGCCTCACGTCGTTCCGTAGCGTCAAGTTCTTCCTCCTCCTCCTCCTCCTTTTCCTTCTTCCCCTCTCCTCCTCCCTCCTCCTCCTCCTCCTCCTCCTCCTCCTCCTCCTCCTCCTCCTCCTCCTCCTCCTCCTCCTCCTCCTCCTCCTCCTCCTCTTCCTCTCCCTCCTCATTTCCTTAGGCAAGCCGCAGGGTACGCACTCTTCCCACTCCCGCCCTCTCGGCACGCCGCAGGCTGGCGGCCGGCGGCTGCGCGGGCGCCTGGGCAGCGGCGCCGCCCCCCCCCCGCGCGGCGGCCCCCGCTCGCTCGCCCCTCGGCCGCTCGTCCCCCGCGCCCTCCTTCAGAGCGTGCATTACCTCCCCCGCTTTCGCTTCCAGACAAAACCAAGTCATACCACGCGCCTCCTCGTCGAGTGGACTGACCAGTACAGGCCGTTGTTTGGCATCGCTTGGTAGCTCTTGGAAGCGAGGGTGGTCAAAAGCGAGGTAGGTTTGTTTGCCCCCGACTCCTCCAGCCTCCGGCACCTGTCCAACGACGCGGAGATCGGGACAACATCGGATCGGGAGATAACTCGAAATCTCTGAGAGTCGGCGGGCTTGGAGGATATAGTTATTGGGCGCCGCGGCCGCTCCAGAGCGTGCCGGAACGCTCTGAGAGCGCTCAAGAACGCTCTGGAGCGATTCATATCCCGATCCTATAGCCTTGTTTTAACCTGCGCCACAGCAGGCGCGAGAGGCCGAGGCCCGCGTGCGCCGAAGCACAAAGGGAGGAAGCTTTTCCTCAGAGCGTGAATTACCTCCCCCGCTTTCGCTTCCAGGCAAAACCAAGTCATACCACGCGCCTCCTCGTCAAGCGGCCTGACCAGTACAGGGCATCGTTTGGTATCTCTTGGGAGCGAGGGTGGTCAAAAGCGAGGTAGGTTTGTTTTCCCCTATTTCCCCGACTCCGAGGAGTGGCCTTTGCCATAAGCGGCCCTGGGCGTTCACGGAGCGGCCCTGCTCTGTTCGTGTCCCTGCCCGGGGTGCGCTCCCTTCAGGGCGCCGCTTGTCGGGGCGCTTACTGTTGGAATGGATGTTCTGCTCTCTGCTGAAGGAGAGAGAGAGAGAGAGAGAGAGAGAGAGAGAGAAGGGATCCGACCGATCGCCCGACCGGTGTGGAGAGCGCCGAGCGGGGCGGGGGGGGGGGCAGCCGAGGATCAAGGGACCCACAGCCGCCCCGACAGGCTGGTCGGCGAGACGGTCGCGGATCAGCCAACGCTCGAGTGGGGGATCGACTACAGAATTGATTTACCCCTGAATTGATTCTTTCGTCGGATACACGAAGGAAGACGTAGACATCCACGAACATTCTGCGTATTCCTTCGTAGACTCGACGGAAGAATCAATTCTGGGGTAAATAAATTCTGTAGTCGATCCCCCACTCGAAACGCCAACGGAGCGAGAGCCCGCAGGGGCCGACCCACGGAGGGGCCGCAGACGGCTCGAGGCCACGGCGGGGGCCACGAGGCAGCGGAGACCCTCTCCAGCCTCCCTTTCACCCTCCGTCGCTCCCTCCCTCCCTGCGTCCTGCCACTGCGGGCACCCTCCCTACACCTCAGGCGATGCTCAAGGAAACCCGATGATTCTGAATGTTTCAACGTAAATCCTAAGGTTCGAATGGAAACCCTGGGTTTTTATTCAAGTTCTGAGACTATGAATTTCTGAACCCATGATTTCTTAAGCATTTCGCAGGGTGTACTCCCTCTGCTTCTTTTCGTCCTCCGCCTCCCGCGCACTCGCTGTGTGACGTTGCTCGGACACGAAGGTCAGATAGTGTTGCGTTCAGGAAGAAGAGGTGCCAGGCCTCAAGGGATCTAATCGCCGAGTTAAGCCTTGACGATCAAGTCAAGGCACCTGCCAGTGCGGATCAGGAAGTCCGCGCACTCCCTACGCCGGCTCCTCCTCCTCGTTTTGCGTTAAGCGAGCATCAACGACGGGGCTGTTGCGTTCTCATCTGCCGAGAGACTTTGAAATCGTGATATAAAATCTGGTAAGCATTGGCATCACCTTAGTACGGACCAAGCGGCACAGGATGTGCGAAGAGAAGCAGAAAAATGGAGAGATCTGCGACGGCATGGAATATTGGATCTGCAGGGGTAGGCAAGATAGATACCAACAATACCCACCCCACTCCCACGTCAAGGTCCTCAACGAGGGTCAGTGCAGCATACGTGTGCTTCGCTGGCGGTAGGCCTTCGGATCCTGTCCGTTTTCGCATTCCTCCTCCGTCCATACCTCCTGGAACCCACAGGCCCACCACTCCACGTCAAGTATGGTCCTCACCGAAGGCTTGCAGCAGGGCCGATATATAATGCCCTCCAGTGTTAACTCTGGAGGTAAGCTGCGTGTACTTAGATGCGGCCGAGTGTTGTAACGTGCGCCTGTTCAGCGGTCGTCCCGAGTGTGGGCCTGTCCGCTTTCGCATTCCCCCCCCGACCACCAAGCACCGCCCCAGCCCCTAAGTGAGAAGGTCTATAAGAGAGACCTGCACGGATGACAAACAACAGGTATAATTGATTGTGCTCACGTGATTTTGGCATTTTCTATTGCGTAAATGTGCAAGCGTGGCACTGTGTAAACATGCATTGCAGAGTTCGTCGTAACGCATGCCGCTGCTCTGAGAGAGATGTCGGCACGAGACGAGAACAACAGGCAGGGAGGCGTCTTGCCCCCTTGGCCCAGGCAACTCACGCTCCCGAGCGTGAAGATTGGCCCTGGATGGCCAGCGCGCCATCAACGAGTGGCTGATCTTCCACATGGACCCACCCCACCAGTCTCGGTGCCGCCCCCAAAGGCACCAGCATTGGTGACGTCAGCAACTCACTCGCTCTGCGTGCAGAACACGCACGACATCTCGCCCTTCCCCTGGCGGGAGCTGCTCTCGACAGGCAGACATGTTTCGACTACCTCATCACGCACATCTGCTTGCTGCTAGCCCTCCACGTGGGGCACCCGTCGACAAGTCTCATCTCCTCCGCCCCGCCTCCAGCCACCACTCCGCCGCCTTCCCCATGTCGGCTTCCACCGAGGGCCTGCAGCACCGGCTGCGGCAGGAGAGAAGCCGAGGTCCACCTTGGCTGTCTCGCGGTGGATGCGCCGGTCCTGCTCCCGCTTACCTGCTGCTCCTCCACCGCCTCTCCGCAGCTCCTCCTCTGGAGTGTCCGCGCGGCACTTCTGTCGTAGTTGCGCTGGCTTCTGGGGCGTACCTTGACGTTGCAGGTTCGGGCCAATGCCTGTTGCCTCGTGGGCTCGAGCTGGCTGGAGGCCGACGTGTCAGTGAGTGCCCTCGCCGAGGCTCGTGTGATCTCTTCCACCTCCGTTACGTAGTCCAGGCCTCCCGACCTCCTCCAGTAGCGTCCGGACGGCACCTCTGCCGTGACGGCACTGGCGGCTGGCATGGTGACGATTTTGCAATTCTTCAGAGGAGAGAGCCAATATCGCGATGCCTTTTGAAATTGGAATTGGCGGAAGGTCGACGCGTTCTACACTGCCCCAATCGAGCATTGTAGATTATGCGTGTCACCGCCGCCTCCGCTACCTGATCTCTCGCACTTCCGTTTCCTCCAAAGTTTCAAGTCTCGAGCTTGACGAACATTGTGCAAGGGGGGCCTTGTCTATTAATGAAAGCTTGAAGAAGGTGATGAGATACGGGATCTTCTGCACTGATGGAAAGCGGGGAGGGATGACAAGGACAAATGCCGCAAACGCAATGGCTTGTCACGTTTTGTTCGGGACGGCGTGTTTCTTGGTAGCTTCGTGAACGAGGCCTGAGTCGACTTGCCAAGGATAGTAACACGAAGTTCAATTTGATATTCTGGGAAGGGGAACAACGAAAAGGTAACCTCAGGAGGTCTTCAGTTTTGGACCCCAAATTCGCCCCTCCTCCTGCTCCTTCTGGTCGTAATCGTAGTCGTAGTCATTGTTGCGCGGCGAGTGCCGCGGAGTACTGATTATGTTTTTGCTATTGGTGGCACCCGAGTCTGTCAATGAGGTCGCCGAAACGATAATGCGTTGCGGCTGAGGGCTTGGTTCGTAATGTTGATCGTTTTGGCCACCGTCTGAATATATATATATATATATATATATATGTATATATATACATATATATATATATATATATATGAGTAGGAATGTTATTCCTCTGGCCGTGATCGCAGCCGAGACCTGTGCGGCGCTGATGGGTCATCAATCCTGTGTTTATTGTTCTTGCCTCCATCTTCAAGTCACATGCGCAGTCACCCAAGCCTCCCTCGCCCCGACTCGGAGCAACAGGCGGTGGCAATGATGGTGTTGCTGATGGTGATGGTACAGCGGCGCTGGAGAACTTAAGCAAACCTGCGCTCGTCGATATTTCCCAGGGCCTGGTCGACGTCGCCCTGAAAAAAGCGTAGCCACATCACGATCCTCCCAAAACTCGTTAAATTTTCCGCCTCCTCGTCCTCAGGCATGCCCTGGAGGTCCTTGAAAAATTGACCGGGCCAGGGGTTCGATTTTGGAATCATGTTGATTCTGGCGTCTGCGATAGTGGGCGGTGCGACTGGGAGTCCAAGATCCCCTAACTCGTTGGCTCGATCTCGCCCGTGTTCAAACTTACACTGGCCCAAGAAAGTCGCCCACCATTGCTTGGATTGCTATCGAAAACGAAGAGCATGTTTATACCATGGTATCCCGCGGACTTCTCAGAGCGATGGACACGGGTGCCAAGCTCCAATACTTCAAAACATCAATGTTGCTCAGCTATTTTTCTGGCCACTTGGGATCCGCCCAAGATGCGGCTCCTTGCATAACGCACCTGAGTTCACAGGCTGCGGCTCCATCTGGACGGTCCTCCCCCTTCGCTGGGACTCGCTTCGAGACCATTCAAACTAGCGTCATAAACCACACCAAAGAGCAGGCATCCGTTGAAGTCGTCTGGGATCTTGGGATTCTGCCAGGGCCCCCCGATACGTGCACTATCCGACAGACATGTTCGGCAATCGCTGTTTCAACGTCTGTAGCATTCGTGCACCGGGGGGGGGGGTCCAGCCGCCTAGGTGCCGAAGGGTGTGAAGAAAGACGTCGGGTAGCTGTTCGAGTTTGGCAAGGTCGTGGACATGCTGACGCGTGCCGCGGGAGACGATGCTTTTCCTTTTGTGCGGTTCTGTTTTTATCCACCTCGCTGCGGCCACGTGTCGAAAGCGTTCTCCTCCGCGCTTGAGAAGGCGACGTATTCCGAAGGCGTGCCTTGCGAAAGCATCATCATGCGAAACAGGTCATCTATGAACCCGACAAGGCTCAGGTCGACGGTGCCGAAGTCGGGAAAGTCTGAAGTCATCCACGGGGCAAGAGGCGTCGCAGCATGCGAGCTCCTCCAATGTTTTACCAATGCACTGTAATCTCTCATGAAGAGCTCGGGCTTATTGCTGCATCCCATGGGCCCACCGCTCCCCATGCGAACCCACAGGTCCTCGTCCAAAGCGTGGGGGCGGGCCCGCAGCATGCCGCGACGTTGTCGGAAGAAAGGTTGGGGGGGTGGAACGGGGCAAATTCGCTGATCTGGTTGAGGCGTCGTGCCTGTGCGCCGCAGGCGAAGGCGAAGGCGCTGGTCAAGCCATGGCTTCTTCCCGCGCAGCTCTGTCTCGCAGACTTGGCCCTCCCAAAAGGCATTCTCGGGGCGGCGCCGGCGGAGGAGTCCACCCCCTCCCCGGGCCCGCGGCGGCAGGCGGCAGGCGGAGCAGGCGCTGCGTCAGCAGCGCGAGGTAGAAGCACCGCCAGGAGCCGCACATCGCGGGGATAAGGCGACAGCACGGCACAGCCGTCCCTGCAGCAGTAATCTTGAGGTAGGTTTGGGAAGCGAAGCTTCGGGAGGGGGGGAAGACTGCTTCGACTTGAATAAGATGCAGGCCTCGCTCTGGTTGGCAACCAGTGGTGCCGCTCCGACTCGGCCTAAGTGCTCGTAGAGACGGCTGGATCTTGCACCAGCCTGCATGCTCAATGCCTTCCAGAGGAAAAAAGCCGACGGCCGCGAGCTCGAAGTTCATCAGTAGCCTCTTCGCGGATGCTGCCTCCTTCTATATACATCTGTATATAATCTGCGGTGGCGGCGGCGGCGACGGAGCGCAGCTACAAACACAGTGTCAGAACAGTCACCAAGGGCCATTATATGTATGTTGTTGTGGGTTTCCGAAGTTGTCTGTGACATAGCCTCGGATCTTTGAGATTGTGCCCAGCATTGTCTCCTAGATTGTCAGAACTTTCGATTGTGCCACTGTGGTCAACTGTGACACTGTGTTCTCAGGCTTGTTCGCTGGTGTCGGCGGTGACGGTGCCGATGGTGACTCGAGGATTGTCGGATCTTCGTGGAGAGGCACCGAACGTAGTCGGGTTAAGTCCTACACTGGACCGAACGTTGCTCGGTACAAGATGTCGAATGCTTGTTTTAAAACAGAACCATCAGCTTGGAATTCGGTCTCGGGTAACGACGACACCATCAGCAAAACCATCAGCTTGGACAGTGAAATCTGTATCGCCACTAGGTTTACTGCCGACGTGACCACGTAGATCGCCCCACTTCAAACGATGGCTGGCCATGCCAACGCATTGGCATGCGCCGCGTGCTCTGCGCGCTCCCGCCGCGCAGCCACATGCCCAAGGCTTGCAGACGCAGGGGAATCAACAGGTGAGAGAGAAGCAATCTGAGAGGCATGGGAAGCCCCACGAGCCATGAATCGCAGGCCTAGAGATTGACACCAACACCAGTTTCGGCGGTGTGCCTCCACCGAGGGAAGAGGATCCCGATCTCGGCGATGGTGGTAATACTCTGGCTTCCAAGGTGGCCGAACGATTACCACCAACACCGAAAATCTAGGATCACCTTCCCCCTGTGGAGGCAACCCCCTGTCTTGGTGTTGGTGCCAATTACCAGGCCTCCGAATGAACGATGGTCGCTCCCCAGGGGCGACGCGCACACCGAGAAATCTTCTAGTATACGCGTCGTGGCGGGCGCTTTCTGGCCACACCGCTGGGGAAACGATATACTACAAGATGGGTATATTATATGTTCGGGTCGGACGCGCGCCTCCAAGGAGGACATCTAGTATTAGTATGCCTCTGTGCGTCCCATGAGCAGCTCCACGAGCCAGGAACGATGGCCTCCATCGGTGCGACCGGGTCGACCTCGGAGCGCGTGAAGCCCCACCCGAGGGCACCGCGCCCGCCGCCGCCCGAAGGCGCTCGGGCCCACGGCGCTCCTCCCCCTCCTCCCATTTCCCTCCTCCTCCTCCTCCTCCTCCTCCTTCTCCTCCTCCTCCTCCTCCTCCTCCTCCTCCTCCTCCTCCTCCTCTCCTCCTCCTCCTCCTTCTCCCTCCTCCTCCTTCTCCCTCCTCCTCCTCCCCTCCCTCCCTCCCCTTCTCCTCCTTCTCCTCCTCCCTCCCTCCTCCTCCTTCTCCTCCTCCCTCCCCCTTCCTCCACCTCCCTCCTCCTCCTCCTCCTCCTCCTCCTCCTCCTCCTCCTCTTCCTCTCTCCTCCTCCTCCTCCTCCTCCTCCTCCTCCTCCCCTCCCCTCCCTCCCCGCTTCTCCCTCGAGGCAGGGGGGGGGGACGGAGGCGGGGAGGCGGAGGGCCGGGGAGAGAGAGGGAGGGAGGGAGGCCAGCTGGGCGCGCTCGCGCCAACATCCGGCATCCCACCCATGCCTTCCCAGCGTGCCGAGTGTTCTCTTTTTGTCTCCACCGAGGAGGAGGAGGAGGAGGAGGAGGAGGAGGAGGAGGAGGAGGAGGAGGAGGAGGAGGGAGGGAGGAGGAGGAGGAGAGGGGGGGGAGGAGGGGGAGGAAGAGGAGAAGGAGGTGGAGGAGGAGGAGGGGTCCGTTCCCGCGGACGCCGACGCCAGACCTGGATTGCCCCTTGTCAATTCCCTCCGAGAGGTGTCCCAGCGAATCTGGCTCCCCGAGGTTGCTCACAGCACCGTGCGCAGTCAGAAAGGGGAGCCTTGTACATTGGAGGAGGGGGAGGAGGAGGAGGAGGAGGAGGAGGAGGAGGAGCAGGACGACGACGACGAGGTGGCGGATGATCAGGGTTAGGAACGAGGAGGTTTAGAAACGAGAAGGAGGAGGAGAAGGAGGAGGAGGAGGAGAAGGAGGAGCAGGAGCAGGAGCAGGAGCAGGAGCAGGATCAGGAGCAGGAGGAGGAGGACCGGGGGGAGCAGGATGACCAGGGGAAGGAGGAGGAGGAGGAGGAGAAAAGGAGGAGCGACATATTTACGAGGAGGGGATCGTACCCGGAAGAGGTGGCCCGCGCTCGGGCGAGAGCGCCATTCCCATCGACGGGAGCAGAGCGCCCATCCCGAGCTGGCGCCAGCGCCGCAGGGCAGCCTGGTGGGCAGGCAGGCCTCGGCACCTGGGGGACAGGCGCGGGAGCTCTGGCCGCAGGGCAGAGGAACGTTCCGCGGCCGTGGCGCGGGCCGCCCCGGGAGGCCCGGCGCACGAGTCAGCACGTCGGCGACCTGCTGTGCTCACCAGCGAGAGGGAGCCCACTGGAAGAGTGCAGGGGGGACGTCAAAGTGACCCCTCGCCGCGGAGACGCCTTCGGTGCGGGCCCACTAAGGTCCCCCGATTTCCGAGCGCGGTGCGTCGGTAATTCGCGTCTTGCGCGCTTGAGCTCGATCCCCCCCGCGGCCGGTTCGGGGAGGGTGCCCCAGTGTTCTTCGTGCCTGTCGGGTGTATTTGCGCGTCCTGGGGGAGGGCACCCTCGAATGTTTTCAGTTTTGGCCGGTGGAGGGTCTCGTGTTCTTCAAGGAGGTTTTCTGTCCCAGGTGCGACCGTAACTTGTTTTGTCATCTGGGATGCAAACCCCTGGGCGGCCGGGAAGTTTATCTCACCCATGGGAAAGCTCTCAGCCGCCCTGGGACAGGCGTCCCCGATGGCGAAACATCGAGCCTCTATACTGTCATTCGCCCGCTAATGATGATCGGTTGAAGGCGAGGTGAAGCAGATCCCGATCGGAAATGTTACGCGCGATCAGCGCGCGCAGGTGCGTCGGCCTCGCCGGGCGCTGCTGGTGTTGGCAGCACGAGCGGCGATCAGACGCCTATCCGTGCGCAGGAGCCGCCTTGCATCTTCTTGCACGGGAATGTGCAAGCATGACAGCACCAGTTCGCATTGTGTAGCGTTGGTGCCTCTGTACCTGGGCGGAGCATAATCAATCAGTGCAGAAGCTCGGATGCACACTGGCCTGCTTCGTGTAGTTGAATGCGTCCGACCAGTCGTCGAGTCCGCCGCCCCACCACTTCAATGAATACCTTTTCGGGGATGGGGCCTGAGTGGCTTGTGGAAGAGGGCTCAGGAGCCAGTTCTTCATGAGGACCAGGGGGGGGACATACATACAGACAGTAGGCGAGGGTGTACGGATGGGGCACATGGACTTTTACTAAAGGGTGGCATGGGAAGTCGAATTACTTGCGAAGCCCCTCATCAGTACCATTATTGTTGTCTGCGAAGCACTGGTTGAGACGCCAGCGTGGTGATGCGAAGCCCACGCTCAGAACCAGCGCGCATCAACCATGACCCCACATATCCGATGTCCTGACTGTTCTGGTCCGCGGGCCTCCAAGACCTTCCTACCCCAGTCTTCGAACATGGGCGTCTCGTTATGGATCGTTCTTGTGGGCCCCCGTGCCCGAAACGGGCCTGCGGGGATCCGCACGCAAACGAACTTACCAACTGGAATGTCTGAGGGTGCGGGGACCCCAGCAGAACACTGCTGGCCTCAGCACCGTGTTAGATGTTAGACCCATCCATCCCCGCTGGTGAGGCCTGGGTCCCCTCGATCCCCATCCATGGATGGGCACTTTCTCATCCCAGGCCGTCTTCGTGACGGTCCCATGGGCTCTCCAGGCTCCAGGGGCCCAAGCTTGAAGAAACTGGCCGTCATCGGCCGTCGTGATTTCTCCGTGGCGCGGGTGCCGCCATGAAGCAAGCGGGTCTTGCGGCAAACGGGCCTGATCTTTTTCACCGTTTTCAGAATTTTCGTGGGACCTCCAACAAAACAACTCAGGGAGAAGGCGACGTGGTCCAGGACCCGTTTCCCTCAGGACCCTTCTTCTTCATGGCACTGTTTTTTTGCTCCATCGTGGCCATCCAGCCTTCGCGCCTAAGGCCGCCAAAGACCACCGAGGACCGCTTGACGACCTTCAGAAGCCCACCAGAGGACCACCGAGGAGCTGCCCAGTGCCGATGGGCAACAAGGGCTCCATCGTCGAATACGCAGGAGTGTCTCCTCGAGGCCTCCAGGGAGGCAGTCGGGGGCCTCGGGGGGTTCAGCACCGCGCGGGCGGGCGAGGCCAGGCTGGGGGAGCCCCGGTGCCGGCTCCTGACCGTCCCGATGCTGAGCGTTACGTTACTCCAGATTTCGTAATAAAGGGAGGGGGGTCTCATTTCGGGGGGGGTCTCTTCCAGGCTATCTTGGGGGGCCTGGGGGGGTCTGGGGACGATGTTTTGGAGGGTTCTCCCACGGGGGAGGTCTGAAATGGCCTGTCTTGGAGGGTCCAGACCCCCTCCCTTTTATTACGAAGTCTGGAGTAACCATGATAAGCGTTGTAACCCTGGCAAATGTTGAAAACGAATGTGCGCGGCGCTAAGGCGAGAGCCACATGTTGAAAGCGGCCCGCCCTCAATCCGTAACTCTTCTAATTCTTTAGAGCGAATGTGCGCGCGGCCCTACGGCGAGAGCCGCATTGTGAAAATACCCGCCCTCAATCCGTGAAGCCCTCTTGCAAATCGTAAGAACGAATGTGCGCGGCGCGACGGCGAGAGCCACATCTTGGAAGCGAGCCGCTCCCAAACTGTGAAACCCGTGCAAAATTGTAAAGACGAACGTGCGCGGCGCTAAGGCGAGAGCCACATGTGGAAAACCATTTACCTTCAGTCCCTGAAGCTTACTTAATTTCTTAGACCGAATATGGGCGGCGCTCAGGCGAGAGCCACATTTTGTTGGAAACCACCCGCCCTCAATCCGCAACGTTCTTGCAATTGTTTCCCAGCCAACCTGTTGTTGAGTCTTCGTTTGCGCCCCGCGTCCCGTACCTCCCTCCCGCCTCCTCCCCTCCTCCTTCCTCCCCCCTCTTTGACTCTGCCCTCATCAGTATGCGTCTCCCCCACCCAGTACAGCGCTTCGTGGCCCCATGGGGAGCTCCACCGAAGGCCCGAGTGGCTGCACTCGCATGCGGGTCCCCCACCCAGTACAGCGCTTCGTGGCCCCATAGGGCCATAGGGAGCTCCACGGAAGGCCTCAGTGACTGCACTCGCATGCGGTTTCCCCACCCAGTGCAGCGCTTCGTGGCCCTATAGGGAGCTCCACCGAAGGTGGTCGTGCGTGTTTGTTGTATGGCTTTGATTTCCAGCAGGAACACTTTGTACTCGACGCGCACCTGTGATGCCCGTCAAGCGAATTGCTCTTATTGTTGCCATTGCTTCGTATTCGTGGCTATTCATGTGTCCTCGAACGTCATGTTCATGATGTCTTTCACGTGCATGTGTTCTGTTGGGCGCACTTTCTCGATTGCAGTGTACTTCCGCGGGTTGATATATCGCACATGCCATGGGCCCGAGGATGCATCGGCATGCGACCGCTACTGCTGAAGCTCTCAGGCCAGCCTGCATGCAAGAATTTCTCGTAGTGCAGCCTCCTTACTGTGACGCGCTTTGTCATCATATCGAGGGCGTCAGGTCTTGCTCTTCATACCCACTGCGCCACCGACTCAAGCGCTGTGGCCGCTGCCCGCTCGCGCTCGTGGAGATGAGGTGTCCATGTGGCTTCCACCCCCGTGCAGCCCTGGAAGGAGCTGCAGCGGGTGCATGACATCCGACGGTGTCTTTTTGGGCGCGCTGCTGCGGTCCCAGCTGTGCCGGTCTGCTCCCGAGGCCTCTCGGGGCAGCCTTGGAGGAGGAAGAGGATACGGAGGAGGATCTGACGCCACGAGCGAGTGCGCTCGGTCGCCTGCGCAGGAAGAGGACACGGAGGAGATGGAGGAGGCGGAGCGCCCGGCCCCAGACCACGCCCAGCAGGAGGAGGGCAGGCAGGAGGACGAGGCCGAGGCTGGGGTGGGCCCAAGAGAGTGGTCCCGATGGCTCTGCCCCTGGGGGAGAGAGGATCATCTCCCAGCGCGAGCGGATTGGCCTTCGCACTTGCATTTCCTTGCCGATGCGGCACTTGTTTGCGTTTCTGTGCGTGTGGTGCGGTGCCAGCTGCTCCTGGGGTGACATGGCCCCCCCTTGGTCTGCGAGGTCTGCGAGGAGAGGGAAGAGGGCTCCTCCGCGGCAGGCCTCGGTCACTGCGAGGGCCGCCCAGAGGCCCGCGCTGCTTGCGGAATGGGGCCCGGCTTCCTCGGGTCCTTCATGTTTTTCAAGGGCTCCCAGCCCCTAGCAGCCAAAAAAGTATGTGACCGAAAACACATCGGTGACCGAAAGCATGCCCGAAGTTGTGGCCGAAAGCGCAGTGCGACCGAAAGTGTAACCAGAATTGACCATAGCATTGATGTCGAACCAAAAACGTGTCGGTTACTTTTTCGGTGCATTCGGACAAATTCGGGCGCCGGTTTCGGTCACGCTCGGGCAGTCTTTCGGGCACGGTTTCGGTCACTACACCCCTCTGATTTTGAGACGAGGCTTCTTAATGTTCCCCTTTTGGTGCCTCTTGTTCAACCGGGCGCATCCTAGGCCCAGCGGGGCCGCCCTCCCTGTCCGGGGCTCTGCTTGAACAGTCAAAGCGCATGGGAAGGATGAGTCACAGCCAGTCACTGCCCCAAGGGTGTTCGTGCATCCTTGCCCCTCGGCACGCCATTCGTCAATCCTCAGCTCGAAAAGTTTCAACCTGGGCGTCCCAACGGGCTTGCGGTCTCACGGTCAAGGAGCTGGACCATTTGGGGTTTGAGAGGGGCCCTCGTTTGCACCCGCTCCACAGATCTGTCCCCAATCCTCCGCTCGAAAAGTTTCAACCAGGGCGTCCCAAAGGGCTTGCGGTCTCACGGTCAAGGAGCTGGACCATTTGGGGTTTGAGAGGGGCCCTCGTTCGCAGCCCGCTCCACAGATCTGTGTCGAGGGACGCCGTCCCTAGCCCAGCCTCGACGTGGCTAGAAGAGTACCTTTTTCGCTCTCCTTCTGCGCTCCTCCTGGCAGCACGACGACTGCACCGCGCAGCTTCGCCGTGCGCGCTGGCCGTGTGCAGCTCGAGCCCGCCCCGCCTCCGTGGCGCTCCTGCCAGGCCGCATGAGGTCCCACTGCTTCACCGAGTCACTGCCCAATGCCTCTCCGGCCTCTCCGTGCGCTTCGCGCAGTGTTCGGGAGCGGAAAAGAGGGGGGTGATGTTTAGGGGGGGGTGGATATCATGGCGCGGGCCATGATATTTCCCCAGATTTCATGGCGCCTCTTCTTATTTCATTACGTCCCTGGCCCCCCCGTCGGGCCGCGCACATGCCGCCAGTCATGATTTGCACCCCCCCCTCTTGGACACCCCTCACTTGGCCGATCCCCATGTGGAGCCGTCCCGCTGGACGGCTGTTTGACCGCCCGTCCGCTCCGCTCCCGCCGGCGCGGCGTCGGGTCCCCGCGGCCCCCGCGCCCCCCCCCCCAGCGGCGAGCGCCTGCGCCCGGAGCTGGCTGGCGAGCCGGAGGCGGACGGGCGGCGGGGGCGCCCGCCGATGATCCTCGTCGCCCTCCTCTGCTCCCCCCCCTCCTCCTCCTCCTCCTCCCCCTCCTCCTCCTCCTCCTCCTCCTCCTCCTCCTCCTCCTCCTCCTCCTCCTCCTCCTCCTCCTCCTCCTCCTCCCCTCCTCCTCCTCCTCCTCCTCCTCCTCCCCTCCTCCTCCTCCCCCTCCGTTTCTCCTCCTCCTCCTCCTTCTCCTCGTCCTCGTCACGTCCTCGTCCACCTCATTACCTCATCCCCCCTTACCACCATTCTCTGTTTCTTCCTCCCTCCCCCCCTGCCCTCCCTGCTCCTCGGTTCGGCGGCGAGCGAGGGGGGGAAGCTAGAAGGAGAAGGCCTTCTCGGAAGGCTCGGAAGGCCCCCGGCCTTCGGAGAAGTTCTCGCTGTGCCTTCCCCGAAGGCACAGAAGATTTCTCAGAAGGCGCCAGGCCTTTGAGGAGTCCCGCCGCCTTCTGAGAAGGCCTTCTCCTTCTTACAACTTCCCCCCCTCGCTCGCCGCCGATCCGTCCTCGTCGTTCGTGGGGGTCAGGGCTCGGAGTGCCGGCTCGGTCTTCCCCTTTCCCGGCCGCCTCGGAGCCCCCTCGGGCTGTCGTGGGCTTCTCGGGGACCTCTTGGGTCGTCTTGGGGGCCCTTGAGACGTATCACGAAGTGGCGCGGCGTTCCGGCTTGCTTATAGGCCCACCCTAGGTTGTTCCAAGAATTGTGTGTGTGGGTTGCACATCATGTTTTTCTAGCAGTTCTGGGTGGGACCGTGGAATGTTAGTACATCGGCCTTATGTTCTGAGAACCGTGTTATTCGGTCTTGGGTCATTTCTTTCGTGAGAGGGGTAGGCCTATCGGGATGCTAGGACGGTTTTTTCCTGCTCAATCGTGCAAGCACCTGGTGTGTGTGTGTGTGTGTTTCGTGTTTTTGGCATTCTGGGCCGACCTGCGGGAGGCCCAGTACGGTCCAAAAGGCCCAGATAGGGAGGCGCAGGGACGGCGGTTGCGCCGGGCCAGGCGTGCTGTGGAAGTCTTGGTGCCGAACCACTCTCCCGACACCCTGCACGCCACCAGAGCGCCCAAGAGTTAACGAACTCACGCGACACACGCACACACACACGCACACACACACACACACCCATACCCATCGGGGGATGATAGGGAGAAGGACTGGCCACGGATGAGTATGTGCGCGGGTTGTGAGCGGGAGCCCGATCCAACCATACGTGCCCCCAGCCCCCCATCCATCCCCGCTATGAGTATAGGTGTGTGTGTGTGTGTTGTTCGTCCGTCAAAGGCGAACCCGAACCTCAGATGTCAGTGGCTTGGAGCCCAGACAGGCACTTACAACAAGACAATACAGACAACTCGATGGGGATTCATGACACTCTCCACTTGCCTCGCAGCATGATGGCGGATAATGCGATTTGCTTCGGAGATGTCACCGACGAACGCATTCATTCTTGATCCCCTCACCTATGAACAGAACGGGAAAGGTGGAGGAGGAGGAGCAGTCCAAGCAAGATGAGGTGGATGAGTTAGAGGAGGTCCAGAAGGGGGCGGCGTTGGAGAAGGAGGCGGGAGGAAGAGGAGGAGGAGGAGGAGGAGGATGGGAGGAAAGGGGAATGAGAATAATGAGGTGGACGAGGAGGACGAGGACGAGGAGGAGGAAGAGGAAGAGGAGGAGGAGGAAGAGGAGGAGGAGGAGGGGGGGAGGAAGAATGTAATGATCAGAGATGGAATGAGGCGGATGAGGGGGGAGGTGGAGGAGGAGCAGGGGAATGATAGTGAGTAGGGCGAAGGGGAGGGACGTTAGGGACGTTAGCCTTTTTTTGCGCGATGGCATTGCTAAGTGCTTGCAAAGGTCCACCTCATACAGTCAATGGCATGGGAGTTGTATTCCAAATTCTTTACGCTTCGCGTATCCCCACCAGCCCATCTCACAACAGCAACTCTTGCGAAGCATGCCGACAGTCGTGTTGTTCAGGCGTGTGTCCGCTTGCCCCCGCATATCTCCCCTGTTCCTCCTTCCTCCCGCCTCCTTGTACATCCTCCTTGTGGGGGGAGCGGGAGAAGGACGAGGCGAAGGAGGAGGGAGAGAAAGCTCTCGTCCTGGTGTGAGTCGTTGGGGCCCTTTTTCCTGGTGTGAGTCGTTCGGGCTCTATGTGGTGTGAGTCGTTCGGGCTCTTCGTCCTGGTGTGAGTCGTTCGGGCTCTTCGTGGTGTGAGTCGTTCGGGCTCTTCGTCCTGGTGTGAGTCGTTCGGGCTCGTGGTGTGAGTTCGGGGCTCCTCGTGGTGTGAGTCGTTCGGGCGCCACGTCCTGGTGTGAGTCGTTCGGGCCCCTCCTTGTGGTGTGAGTCGTTCGGGCTCTTCGTGGTGTGAGTCGTTCGGGCCCGTCGTCCTGGTGTGAGTCGTTCGGGCTCCTCGTGGGGCCTCTTGGGGGCCTCTTGGAGCCTCTTGGGGCCTCTTGGGTGCCTCTTGGGGGCCTCCGGGGAGCCTCTTGGGGGCCTCTTGGGGCCTCTTGAGGCCTCTTGGGGGCCTCTTGGGGGCCTCTTGGGGGCCTCTTGGGGCCTCTTGGGGGCCTCTGGGGGGTCTCTTGGAGGCGTCTTGGGAGCCTCCTGGGGGCCTCTTGGGGCCATCTTGGGGCCTCTTGCGACCTCCTCAGAAGCGCAAATGAGCGCTGCCCCCTGAGAAGGACAAAATAAGCCCAAAACCTTAGTAAAATGGATGATTTTGCTATGAAGGAAGATGAGCGCGGCCCCCTCAGAACGCCAAAATGGGGCCAAAACCGTAGTAAAATCAATGTTTTTTTGAATTTGAAGACGAGTGGAGGGGCCAAACTCGGTCCCCCCGTCGGGGCCAGAATCCTCGTGAGGGTCGTCGTTTTTTGGCCCTCCCAGGGGTCGAAAAAGACCCCTGACGACCCGCGGCCCGCCCTCTCCAGGCCCAGGGGGAGGGGGTAGGGGGAGGGGTAAACCCCTCCCCGAAGGGGAAGAAAGGGGGTTGAGGACAGAGCGGGCTCTCTAAACCACTCACGCCCAAAGGGCTGGTGGGATTTCGGGGCAATGCAATGCTCAGCCGATTCACATTCTTGCGGCTCCGCATATCCCCACCCGCCCAGCCAAAAGCAGGCGCCAGGGAAAGAGGGGATCTGGAGGGGAGGAAGGGGGCTGGGAGCCATCTTCGAGTCCTTGGGGCTCTTGGGGCCACCTTGTGAACCATCCATCAAAGAAGGCAAGGCAACACATCCCCCCTGCAAGGGTCCGACAATTGGCCTTCGATGGCTCTCTTGGGGCGCCCTTCGGCGATCTTGTAATCGTCTTGGAACCCTGTTGGGCCCCTCTTGGGGCCGTCTGGGGCCATCTTGAAAAGGCTAGCTTGAAGCCTCAAGGTCAAGAGCCCATCGGAGGCGAAACGGCGAGAAGGCGCAACACAATCACAGACGCCTTTGTGGTATCAGGAGGTGTTGGCCTCCTGGGGGCCTCCGTGGGAGGCTCGGAGTGCATTTGGAGCAGTTCTGGGGCGGGGTTCTTGGACGCATGTGGGAGGTAATCTTGAACCATCTTGGGATATCGTGAGCGATCTTGGCGGCCATCTTAGGCTGCGTGGAGCCTTCCTAGAATCAATTTGGGCTAAGAAGGACGCCCTGACCGCTCGCGAAACGCCGCCTCCAGACCCAGCGGGAGAGGGTTGGGCGAGGGGGGAGTCCTCTCCCCAAACAGGAACATGAGGGTTGGCAGCACGAGCTCCCCACACCGCTCACGACCTAGAGAGCTGGTGGGATTCTGCCGCTGTGTAGGGGAGATGGCAGGCAGACGCGACTTAAGCCCACACAATAGTTTGAGCAGTGACTGCAGTACAGCACCTCTCCACCACACTTTTGCACCCAATCCGAGCGAGCTGTCCCGGCGGACGATTCAGCTTCGCCAGCTTGCTCATTTTTGGGCTCCCCCTTTTTCTGGGTACACCGCGTTGGGCGAAGGGGAGGGAAGAGGAGGAGCAGGAGGAAGAGGAGGAAAGGGAGGAGGAGGAGGAGGAGGAGGAGGAGGAGGAGGAGGAGGAGGAGGAGGAAGGGGAGGAGGAGGAAGGGGAGGAGGCGTGTGTGGGGAGTGGGGGCATCAGCAAGAGGAGGAGTGGAAGGAGGACGAGGAGGACGCAGGATGAACGAGAAAATGGCACCAGGGAAGGGTCCGAGCACCAGGAATATGATAAACAACAGGGCCATAAGAGTGGGATGACGACGACGGAGGCGTGCAGAGGGGGAACAGCAGCCTGTTCCTCGTCCCCTGTACGTCGTCACCCTCTTGCTCATCCTCCTCGCCCTTCTCTTTCCCTCCAGATGGGGCGTTCCGAAAGGGGCCTGGCCTTCGAGGATCGAAGGAGTTGTCATCGCTTCCGCTGCTGAAGGCGGCGGAAGGTCGGCGGAAGTAAAACGAGGCCGCCTTCGCTGGCGGAAGCCGGCGGAAGGCTGGCGCAAGGCTGGCGGAATGCGGCGGAAGGAACAGATGCGTCGCCCGGAGAGGATATATTTTTTGGGGGTTCAGGGTTTCCAGGGTCCGCCAGATGTCCCCTCCCGCCGCTCGTCTCCTCGCTTCTCCGCATCCTGCCAGGGCAAGAGCGCTCAGCAGGACCGAGCGTCAGGACGTGTGTTATACCAGAGGAGGGAAATACACACAGACACAATTGATCGTCGACTCCGGAACATATTGGAACATACGGAAAGTGGGGAGGAAGACGGAAACCCTGGCAATACAAACAAATAACAGGAATTCTAGGATTCGTGTTTATTCACTCGTGTGTCCCTGGGCCCCTGTATTACAGCCGATTGTGTGTCTACCCCTTCCAGCTCCGCCGACAGCAGGCAGTGTGCGCGCTTGGCCCTGCGGCGCGCCGCCTTGCGTCGCATGGAGTAGTGGCCTCGGTGTGCAGCAACACGTTTGCGCTACCCCTAGGTCGGTCACGTCCCTCTACAGGGGGAATATTCAAAAACAGCTTCGAAAATAGTCCGGGGACGATTGTTCAACCAGCTTTTATGCTTGGGGTATTCTTAGACTATTTGTTCCTTTTCGTCCAGAATCCGCCTGTAGGGGGACATGCCCAACCTATTGCTGCCGCGCGTTCTGAGGACCACCGACGAGAGCATGACCTGGGCTCTGGCATGTTCGCCACTGCTGCTGCCTGTACTTCTTATGGTGTCATAAGTAGTTGGGCCAGCAGGCATCTTGCCGAGTCGAAGCAAGCTCACCTGTATAGGGGACATCCGCCGGTGATCGCCTCGCAGACAGCCGTTGCCGAAAAACGCCAAGCAGCGTCTACAAAGAGCGGACGAATAACCATGTCCATGATCGCGACACCTCACGAGCGGAGCCCTGGGCTCTCAGCACGATGCTGTTTTTTTTCCCAGCGTCCCGCGAACACCCCGGTCGATGGGCCCGTGCGCCCCCCCCCCCCCTTCCCCCCGGGCTATTTTGACCGTGTCGGGTGCGCAGGCCCGATGGGGGCCCGCAGTCTTGGTGGCAGAGGGCAGACGTGGGGTTGCCCAGAGCGAAACAGTTAGGCCCCCGGGGGTACTCCAGATTTCGTAATAAAGGGAGGGGGGTCTCATTTCGGGGGGGGTCTCTTCCAGGCTATCTTGGAGGGCCTGGGGGGTCTGGGGACGATGTTTTGGAGGGTTCTCCCACGGGGGGGGGTCTAAAACTTTTCGTCTGGGAGGGTTGAGACCCCCTCCCTTTTATTACGAAATCTGGAGTAATTTTGGTTATCGCCGAAAAATAATTATCATGGCGAAGGACCCAACCATGTGCAGTTGTGCATACCATGTTGTGGCGCCGCTTTCGGTGGAGTTCCCTATGAAGGCCACGACCCGTGCGAGAGGTGCGCCAAAATGGGGCGGCGCCACCGTGCGATCTCCGCCGTTGGGGCCGTCGGTGGAGCTCCCCATGGGGCCACGAACCGTGTAAGGGGTGCGCCAAAATGGGGCGGCGCCGTCATGTGGACCCTGCCGCTGGGGCCTTCGGTGGAGCTCCCTGTGGGGCTACGGACCGTGTGCGGGGTGCGCCAAACTGGGGCGGCGCCGCCACGTGGACCCTGCCGCTGGGGCCTTCGGTGGAGCTCCATCTGGGGCCACACACCGTGTGCGGGGTGCGCCGAAATGGGGCGGCACCGCCATGCGGACCTTGCTACTTAGGGATTCGGTGGAGCTCCCGATGGAGCCACGAACCTTGTCAGGGGTGCGCCGAAACGGGGCGGCGCCTCCGTGTGGACCATGCTATTTTGGCCTTCGGTGAAGCTCTAGGGGGGCCACGAAGCGTTGCTCTGGGTGCGCCCAAACGCAGACATGCGGAGAGGAGAGGAGAGGAGAGGAGAGGACGCGGGGCGTCGTCTCTTCAAAACGAGGCCCCAGCACCACATCATGGTTGGGACCAACAGCGATCTCCGCGACGACGGCCGCACACGCGACGACGACGTCGCCGCCCTCGCGCCGCCGCCGGGGCGAGGCGCCGCTGGTCGGCGTGTACGAGCCCCTGCGGCCGGGGAGCCCGCCGCCGCTGCGGTTCTCGCGCGTCGCGTCCCTGGGCGCCGACGGGGACCGCCGCCCGCGCGCCGCCGCCTCTCGGTGTTGGGCTGGCGGGGGGATATTCGATGGGGAAAGGCAAGCAAGCAGCCGCGCCCTGGCGGCGCATCGGCAGGACACGTGCACACGCGCACGCGGAGCGCGGCACGGAGCTTCGGCCCGCTCGCAGGAGCGTTGCGCAGAGGGCGCGCGAGGGGGGTCAGCAGCAGCACTCGAGGGGGGGGGGTAAGCGGAGGCGGAGGGGGGAACGGGGAGGTCACGACATCTGCTGGTTCCAGTTGGGGACAGTGGGGACAGTGGGACACTGGGGGACGGTGGGACAATGGGACAGTGGTACAGTGGACAGTTGGGACTGGGGACAGTGGAGACAATTTGACAGTGGGGGCAGTGGGACAATTGGCACAGTGGGAAAATTGGACAGTGGTACAGTGGCGACAGTGGTGGGGACAGCGGGGACGGTGGGACAGCGTTGGGGACAGTGGGACAGCGGTGGCGACAGTGGGGACAGTGGGACAGTGGTGGGGACAGTGGGGCGGGGACAGTGGGGGCAGTGGGGAGAGTGGGTCCGTGGTGGGGACAGTGGTGGGGACAGTGGGGACAGTGGTGGGGACAGTGGGGACAGTTGAGACAATGGGACAATGGGGACAGTGGGACAATGAAGACAGTTGTACAGTGGGGACAGTGGTGGGGACAGTGGGGACAGTGGGACAGTGGTGGGGACAGTAGTGACCATGAAGACAGTGGGATAATGGGACAGCGGTGTACAGTGGGGACAGTGGTGGAGACAGCGGGGACAGTGGGACAGTGGTGGGGGCAGTGGTGGCGACAGTGGGGTCAGTGGGACACTGGTGGGGGCAATGAGGACAGTGGGACATCGGTGGGGACTTTGGTGGTGGGGACAGTGGTGAGGGCGGTGGTGGGGACGGTGGTTGGGACCAGGGAGTCGCTTGCGGGCGGCGAGTAGGGGGGATGCGGGCGGCGGTAGGGGGGCGGGGGGGGGGGGGGGGGGGGGGGGGAACTTCCGGTTCTGGGGGAGGGGGGGGGTAACTTTTCACAGCAAGGTAGCGGTGGATCACGCTTTCTCTTATTTTCTGACTGTCGCCGTACTAATACAGGGTCCCGAGTGGGCCCTCTTCGGGGTCTCTTGAGGCAGTTTTCTGGCCGTCTTGGGGGCCTCCTGTGCCGTCTTGGGGCCCTCTGGGGACGCCCTGGGTCTGGGGAATCTTGGGGGGCCTCTTGGGTCTGTTTTGGAAGGTCTGGGGGCACAGTTGGGCCGTCTTGGGGCCCTCTTGGGCCGTCTGGAGCCTCTCTTGGAGCGTATTGGGGTCGTCTTGGGCCCCTATTGGGCCGTCCTGGGATCGTCTTGTGGCGCTCTTGGTCGCCTATTGGGCCATCTTGCAGCGATCTCGGGGGCCTCTACGACCGTCTCGAGCGCTCTGGAGACCGAGAAGCCCAGTTCGCGAAAATAGCACCGAGACCGAAGGAATACCTATCATAATGTTTGCCTCCAGGGGGACTCTTGGGAGTCGTCTTCGGGCCCCCTTGGGCCATCTGGGGAGCCCGTTGGGCCGGCGAGGGGCCATCGTGGCCCCATCTCAGGCCATTTTGGGGCCCATCGTGGCCGTCGTGGGGCGCTCGTCGGACCCTCTTGGGACCTCCTGGGGCCCTCTGGGGCCGCTTTGGGGCCATCTGGGGCCGTCTTGGGCCCTCCTGGGGCGCTCCAGAATGGTCAGGAGGGGAAAAAACACACAGACACAATTAATCGTCGATTCCTAGGAAAATATAGGAAAATATGGGAAGTGGTGGGGAAGACAAAAACCCCCAAAATATGGGAAAATATGGGGAATCTTTTTATTTGTGTGTATTTATTTGTGTGTCCTGGGGCTCCTTCACATGGAATCAGCCTCCCCGGTCGCACCCGAAGTTGTACCAGATCAGTTTTCAATGTAAGTGGTTACGTAGTTACTCGTTGTATTCATTCATGCGACTGATGTGTACGTTGACGCCCCCGGCGCCGAGCGGCGCAACACAGTTGCATGCAGCCGATTCGCTAGCTGAGCTGTCCCTCCCCTTTCGTCCGCCCCGACTGGGACTCCTCCCCCTCTCCTGCTCCTCCTTCGCTTCCGCTTCCTTCGTCGGGGCTCCTGCGCAGGGCTGTTCCGCCCCTGTCAGAGGTAAGGCGCTTGGAAGCCCTACATCGGCGGGCGTAGGCGGTGTGATGCCGATGAGAGTACGGTGCATTGGTGGTGCATTGAATGTTCTGATTCCCTTGCAGGAAGGGGCGTCCGTTTCAGGGAGAATAGCATGGATGCTGCCGTGTGTTGTGTGGTAGCACAATTCACACGGGTCCTGCGATGGCGTTGGACATCAGGATTTGTGGATATCCGCTGAGCCCGACAAACATGTGAAGTTACAATGTTTCGCGCTGCGTGCATGATGTGCTCGGCGTGTCGCCGGCCTAAATTGTTGATTTGGGCGGAAACGCGCTCGGTTGGTCGGACTCGAGGTCCTGGTCGGAACGCCGTCTGGCAAGAGAGGGCCCCCTGAGGGTTGGCACGGACTGTCCCATCGTTGATTCCACTTTCGGCATTGTGCTTCGTCCTGGGTTCCTGCAGTAGTGCGCATTACACGTTTCGGCATCCCGCGTCTTTTATGTACTGATCGTAGTAAAACGTGGCCTTCGTAGCATCCATATCCGCAAGAGTAGCAGGATGTGTAAGCATAGTAGCTCTACGTTGTAGTTATTGATGTTGTTGCCTGTATGACCGTTGCAGTCGCGTGCCTTGCAAGTATGTCTGTATGATGTTGTTGCAAGTGCCTTGCGTTCTAACATTGCGCGTCGCAGTTCAACATTGAAGGGTCGGCTGAGCTTTCTAGGGCCTAGGAGGTCGGCAGCCCCAGAACAAAATGCAGAGACTTCAGAGTTCCGAGACGTACGCCACCGACTATCAGCAGCCCCAGTACCACATGCAGAGGCTTCAGAGTTCCGAAACGTCAGAGTGAGGGGCCGAATGGTTGTTCACTGTCCTCGCGTCCATGGCGAATGTGGGGTTCCGCGGTGCGGATTGTTGCTGCGCTGTTGTTGTGTGTTGTTGTTGTCGTTGTTGTTGTGATTGTTGCTATTGTTGGTGTTGTTGGTGTTGTTGTTGCTGTTGATGTTGCCGTTGTTGGTGTTGATAGTGTTGCGGGTGTTGCTGTTGTTGCTGTTGTTGGTGTTGTTGTTGGTGGTGGGGTTTGTTGTTATTAGTATTGTTATTGTTAGTACTCTTGCTGTTGGTGTTGGTGGTGTTGTTGTTGGTGGTGTTGTTATTGTTGTTGTTGGTGGTGGCGGTGTTGTTGTTGGTGTTGTTGCTGCTGGTGTTGTTGTTGGTGGTGGCGTAAGCGTGGTGGTTGTTACTGTTGTTGGTGTTGATGGTGTTGCGCATGTTGTGCTTGTTGCTTTTGCTACGTTTGTTGAATCTTCGTTCCTGGAAAAGTGCATGTAGTGGATTTCCCTACCGGTGCACAGTGGGCTTTTTCAATTGAAGTGCCCCCCCTCGGGGCTCACACTCTTTTTCCAAACTCTCCCTTGGTTGCACGTCTTGAATAAAGCGCTTTCTGCTCCGCCCTCCCTCCCTCCTCCCCTCCTCCTCCCCGGCTACCCTCCTCCCTCCTCCCCGCCCCCCTCCTTTTCCTGTTTACTCGTCCTCTCCTTCGTCGAGACCTCGCGGGAACTGGTGGAGCTGCGAACCACTCAATTGTCGCCGCTTTCGTGGGCTCCCGGGAGGTCCAGCGGAGTGGAGGTCCACGCTGACTTGCCGAGAGCTCGCTCGCGGCTCCTGGCGGAGCCGCGAACCGCGCAGTTCTCGCCACTTTCGTGGGCTCTTGAGAGGTCCAGCGGAGTGGTTGTCCACGCGGGCTTGCCGAGATTTCGCGGCCCCCTGGGGGGGTCGGGCCTCACGAAAGGGGGGGATTGGGAAAGGGGGGGTTACAAAATTTGCTGCATGCAGCTGGTTTCGGCCTCACCGAGGGGCCCATTCCCCGATACATAGCCGCCTCCGGCGCCGGGAGGCGCCGGGAAAATCAGCTACGTGAGCTGATTCTCAAACCCCCCCTTTGCTATCCCCCCCTTTCGCCCGACCCGAGGGGGGCTGCGAACCGCGCAAGTATCGCCACGTCTGTGGGCTCCTGGGAGGTCCACGCGGTGCGGAGGTCCGCGCGGACCTCCCGAGGCCTCGCGGCTCCGTGCGGGGCTACGAGCCGCGCACGCGCAACGGTCGCCGCCTCCGTGGGCTGCTGTCAGGTCCAGCGGGCTGGAGATCCACGCGGACCTTCCAAGATTTTGCGGCTCCCTGCGGGGTGGCGAACCGCGCCATTGTCGCCACTTCCGTGGGCTCCTGGGAGGTCCAGCGGGGTGGAGGGCCACGCGGACTTGCCGAGGCCTCGCGGCTCCCGGCGGGGTTGCGAACCGCGTAAGGGTAGCCACCTTTGTGGGCGCACGGGAGGTCCAGAGGAGTGGATGTCCACGCGCGGACCTGCCGAGACCTTGCTGCCCTCTTGAGGGGTTGCGAACCGTGCAATTGTCGCCATTTTCGTGGAGTCCTGGGAGGTCCAGCGGAGTGGAGGGCCACGCGGATTTGCCGATACCTCGCGGTCCCCTGCGGGGTTGCGAACCGAGCAATTGTCGCCATGTTCGTGGGCGCTTGGGAGGTGCACCGGAGTGGAGGCCCACGCGGAATTGCCAAGTTCTCGCGGCTGCTTGGGGGTCTGCGAGCGGTCTGCGAGCCGCGCAATTGTCTCAGTTTCCGTGGGCTCCTGGGAGGTCCAGCGAAGTGGTTGTCCACGTGGACTTGCCGAGACTTCGCGGCTCCCTGCGGGGTTGCGAACCGCGCAATTATCTCCTCCGCTGTCGTGGGCTCCTGGGAGGTCCAGCGGGCTGGAGATCCACGCGGACCTGCCGAGACTTCACGGTTTCCCTGGGGGTTCGAACCGGGCAGTTGTCGCCATTTTCGTGGGTTCGAGGTCCAGCGGAGTGGAG